TTGGCCATATTTTTTGACTCAATATTAAATACGTTTCAAAGAAACTAGCTCCGCTATAAATATTACTGATAAAAAAAGAATTATATCTAGATACTATGTGTCTGAGACACTAGCTCCGTTATAGATACACTTTTTTCTCATATATCCAAAAAAAGATTGTATAGTCTACGTAATAGAACAAGACCCATCCCGTATATATAATAAAGAAATCGAAAGTACATATGAGTTATATGCAGAACTTCCTTATTAGTAAACCAGCTTCATTAATAATTATCTAATGATATCTAATGATATTTAATGATATTTAATGATATTTAACGATATTTAATATTAGGTATTGTTATATATTGGAGGGAATTAACACCCTGGTGATTGTAAAGTAATTATTTTTATGTATCTGCTTTCAATAATACTCCCATCTATAACAATGAATATTATTTTTATCGTTCTATAACAATGAATATTATTTTTTATCGTTTTTTATCATTCTAGAATATTGGATAAAAAACAAACCATGAGTACTTCATATCTACAGTCTTATTATCGCAAGGGTTCTACATTACTAACTTCTGAACAAATAGAGATAATTAGAATGCTCAAGGGGAAGGTTCCTAAATATATAATAATAAGAAATTTCCATATTAATGAAAATCGAGTTAATGATATATGGGAAAGTCATAAACGTCAGCAACAAATAATACAAAGTGCCATTTCTTCCGAAATATTACCTATACCAGCAGTCTTATCTAAATATTCTAATCAGATTAGCACTACTATACCAACTCACACCGAAGGGGGGATATTACATTTGGAAGAGACGGAGTCTCGAGTTAAGGACTCATCTACTACTCTCCCCAATAAAGAGATAAAAAAGAGAAGTTCCAAATCTAGGCCTAGCTCCAAAGGAGCCACTTCCAGCAAATCAGTATTATGTAATAATGAGCTCCACTCTCGCATACCCGATTTAATACTTGCTAATAGCTCAACATTAGTTAATATCAGTGGGGGTGATATGACCTCAGAAAAATTGGATGCATCATATGAGCAAAAAATTAAAAGAAATGAAGAGTTTAAATCAAAGTTGACGCATGTAGTGAAATAGTACTTAATTCAGAGAAAGTGTTTTTTGAAGAATGCTTTCATATAAATTATCGATTTCTGCATCAGACCTGAGAACATTATATAATTTCATTTCTAGATCTATACATCTCTCACAATTCACACATTTTTTTTTTAAAGTCGAATTGGCAGAATCTAAGCTAAAACTCACAGGAGCGCACCACTCGTCGAATGGTACATTATTATCCTCATCCCCATCTACCTCCTGTGAAATTTGATCGGATAGCAGAGGCTTATCATCCTGAGTTGCAGTAGCGCAATTTACTTCGAGCTTGTTCTTAACCTTGATCATATTTATAGGGATGATGTGATCCTTTCCATTAAAAGGGATTTTCAATTCATCATTACCCCAATCTATAGCGCATTTATATTTTTTGAGAAGCGGATTTGGGAATATCAATGTTGGTTTAGGGACACGTACAACAACAAAATCTTCACGTATAGTAAAACCCGGAGGGAATGTTATTGGAAAATTACGAGCAATGCCGATTGATTCTGTTGGAACTGTAGCAATACCGCTAAGATCATATTTTTCTGATTTATTGATTGACCAATTTACACATTTAACAATGTCTTCTGATGTAATTGGAGGCTCAGCACCACTATCGAGTACCAATGCTAGAATTTTTAAATGTTTGATTTTACATGGTATAGTTGCAAGGCTTGTGGCAAGCTCCTTTCTTCTAACAAAGTCAATCTCCATAGGATCGTCTAGTGTTTCTTCCTCCCCATCAAATTCGGGTATGTCTGGAACTGGATCTCTATACTTCTTGGAGTCTGATACCTGAGTTGTTGGTGTTGAGCTAGATGAATTTTCAATTTTGAATTTCAGTTTCTCTAACCAATGCGCAGGTAAAACCTTCTCAAGTATATCCAATAAAATTCGTTGAATACTTTGCTCAAGGATAGTTGATTTATTTTGGGACTTACCAGAAGTGGAGATATCTTTTTGTTTCGATTTGCGAGGTTTAGATTTCTTCTTAGTCTTGGATTCCTTAGGTTTTATTTTTTTTTTGCTTTAGCGGCGTTGACAGCATTGATAATTTTTACAACATCATCCTCGGTAAAATTATTCTCAGAATCAGATTTAGAGGAGGTATTCTCAGCATCAGACTTTGTCTCAGAATTAGATTCATTATCAGAAGAGTTTGTATCTGAATCAGAACTTGAATTTGCAGTGGCGATATTGACTGTACCTTTCTTCTTAGACCTGCTCTTTTTATTTTTGCAATTGCGGGAATTATGACCTGGTCTACCACACTTTGAGCACCTATGCTGGGACAATTTTTTCTTAGCTTTTTTAACGGCTTTAGCTATATGCAATTTTAATTGTCTTTGTGTGAGGTTAGCTAGCTCTTCATCTAAATCGACTTCGACATTTTTTGAAGCACTCCCTCCATTTTTCTTCGAGAATTTATCTGATAATTTTTTATAAAGATCGTTGACTAGAGATTCCATAATTTGACTAGCTGAAGGAGTTGGGTTTATAAGATCACGATGAATAAAATTTTCTGAATTCACTCCATAACCATCTGGAGGTCTTTCTGGTATATATTTGTCTAATACTCTAGGATAATCGTTAGGATCAGATTGTCTTTGCTGGGGGTGTTGAACCTGTGTTTGCTGGGATTGTGACGCTATCATAGATTTTACATAGTTTTTAATTTCATCTGTCATACCTGTATTGTTTGAATAATTATTTTTTTCACGACCCTTACTGGATGATATCGAATCTGAGTTTGAATGCAGATAAGCTCCAGATAATTGTTCTGCTGTATATCTTTCAATTTCTTCAAGCTTTGGAAGTAATTCATCTGGAGTTTTTTCAATTCCTAAACAACGAACTTCCATCTGATTGACAGGTGAAAGTTCACGAAGAAATTGCAATCGGATTTGTTGTTCATCAATATCAACAAGCCTAGCTAATCTACGCAAATTAGAATAGAAACGGCTAACTGGATCACTTTCTTGAACAGTTGAACCAAAAAGTACTTGTTGTTTCTCTGCAGTTACTGTAGGATAGTTAGTTTTAAACCAATATAATACCTGCTCAAGTCGAATACTAGGTACAACTACAGCATTGCCTGTATTAGCATTGGGTAAACGATCAGTTGGGCGTCCATCAGCAAAAGACCAATCTTCATCAAAGACTGTATAGGCTGGAATTACAACATTACCAGCTTGTTCGTTTGCCCGATTTAATGCTTGTGCACCTAACTGAGCTGCTGTTCGCCTTTGGACTGCGCCTAAATTAGCTTGTGCTATATTATCAAGTAAATTTTTTAATTCAAAATTTTTTCCGTAGATAGTTCTTTCATATTAATCTTTGGCAGCACCTTTGAGAGATGCTACAAAAACACCATGAGCATTGACTCTATTGGCGTGGCCAGCACCTACATCTATTCCAGAACCTACAAGCCATAATCTAAATTCTTCAACGTGTTCTTCGGGGTCTTCAGTAGGATGCCCATTGAATTTTTTTAATTCGTAACCCACCATACCTGATCGATTATTATTTATAGGTAAATTATTCTGAAGCACTAAAATTTGCTGATTCAAATTATTAATTATTTGGCATCCATTTTTGGTCTTATTTTTCCACTTCCCATACCTCACTATAAGTTAATTTCACCAAAACTCAATAAGAACTTTATCATTTTATAGATTCCTGCTATGTTCCTGACAATTTTGCAATTCTTGAGTAATATGCCGATTTCTATCTCTTTAATTCCTCCAAGTGATCCTCGCTATATTAAATTCCACGTTTAAGATTTGAGCCTGTCTTAAATTGTGAGCTCGCCATGCAATATGAGTTAATCCTAAGATGCGCAATTTCTGCTTTAACTCGTCATATGTGAACTCACCTTCTGTAATATCTTCATGAGTCCCTTCCAAAGATTCTCTTATTTGGTAGCATTCCTCTCGGCATTCATCCAGCTGGTCTTGAACTTGTCCATATAACCTCGCTTTCTCGTCTAATTCAATTTGGATAGTCTCGTTTTTTTCAGATAGCACATCTATCTGTTCTTTGAGTATTTCGTTTAATGTACCTAGCTCATTGATTAACTCCTGTTGATTGAGGTTTATATCTTTTGGATTTATAACTTCCTGCCTTAACTGAGTTATCTCATTTTCAAAAGTATAACACCCATTCTGAATTTTCGTTAATCCTAATTTGATTTGAATCTGGAGATTATTAATTTCATCTATTAAAAGAGTATCGTTTCCTTTAGCCGAATTAGCTAAGAGCTTAATATTTGTTCTCACATCTGTTATTAAATCGAAAACTGGTGTATTTGTAGATGGTAGGTGTGTCATGTCCAATGTCATTGTTTCTCGAAGTTTTTGAATTCTATGTTGAAGGGAGAATAATTCACTGCTCATATCTCGTAACTGGAGTTCGAGAGCAGATATATTTTTATCATTGGACTGAGCATCCGTCTCTACTTTCCGGAGTCTTATTTTGAGATCGTTTACCTGTATTCAGAGAATATCGATCTCATCATCCCTTGTAGTTATCTCTTTCTCCAGGTAAGTAATGTAATCCTCATTTTTCTGGATCTGTATACGTAATTTCTTGATGGTCACAACAAGATTATCTATCAAATGTAATATATACACCGATCACATTGTTTACCAAGAA